GTTATGGGGCCAGGGGTTAATGAGACATTGGGTTATGGGGTCACGGGGTCACAGTGGTTATGGGGTCATTGGGTTATGGGATCCGGTTACTGGGCCAGGAGTTATGGGGTCACAGTGGTGGTTATGGGGTCAGAGTGGCTATGGGGTCATTGGGTTATGGGGTCAGGTTATGCGGTCATGGGGGTAATGGGGTCTGGTTATGGGGTCATGGGGTCACAGTGCTTATGGGGTGGTCAGGTTATGGGGCGAGGAGTTATGAGGTCATGGGGTCATGGGGTCACAGTGGTGGTTATGGGGTCAGGGGTTATGGGGTCACGGGGTAATAGGGTCACAGTGGTTGTTACGGGGTCAGAGTGGTTATGGGGTTATTGTGTTATGGGGTCACAGTGGTTACGGGGTCATTGGGTTATGGGATCATAGTGGAGGTTATGGGGTCACAGTGGTGTTTATAGGGTCAGCTTATGGGGCCAGAGGTTAAAGGGTTATGGGGGTTATGGGGTCACTGGGTTATGGGGTCAGGGAGACACAGGGGTTATGGGGTCACGGGGTTTATGGGGTTGTGGGGGTTATGGGGCCATGGGGGTTATGGGGTCACAGTGGTGGTTGTGGGGTCAGCTTATGGGTCCAGGGGTTACGGGGTTATGGGGGTTATGGGGTCACTGGGTTATGGAGTCAGGGGGACACGGGTTATGGGGTTGTGGGGTTTATGGGGTCATGGGGGTTATGGGGATGTAGGGATTATGGGGTCATGGGGTTATGGGGACATGGGGTTTATGGGGTCACAGTGGTGGTTATGGGGTCAGATTATGGGGCCAGGGGTTAATGGGTTATGGGGGTTATGGGGTCACTGGGTTATGGGGTCGGGGAGACACAGGGGTTATGGGGTCACAGTGGTGGTTGTGGGGTCAGGTTATGGGGCTAGGAGTTAATGGGTTATGGGGGTTATGGGGTCAGGGAGACACAGGGGTTATGGGGTCATGGGGGTTATGGGGTCATGGGGGTTAATGGGTCATGGGGTTATGGGTTTATGGGGGTTATGGGGTCATGGGGTTTATGGGGCCGAGGTGGCACTTATGGGGCGGCTCCCCCTGACCTCATCCATGGCGCGGATCTCCAGGCGCAGTTTGTCCATAATGGTGATGAACAGCTGGGGGGGGAAAGGAACTCAGCGCCCCATAGAACCCCATAGCGCCCCACAGAACCCCATAGAGCCCCATAACACCTCACAGTGCCCCACAGAACCCCATAGAACCCCATAGCGACCCACAGAATCCCATAGCACCCCATAGCATCTCATAATGCCCCACAGAACCCCATAGCGCCCCACAGAACCCCATTGTGCCCCACAGAACCCCACAAACCCCATAGATCCCATAGAGCCCCATAGAACCCCATAGCGCCCCACAGAATCCCATAGTGCCCCATAGCACCCCATAGATCCCTTAGAGCCCCATAGAACCTCATAGTACCCCCATACCACCCCATAGTGCCCCACAGAACTCCACAAAACCCTATAGATCCCATAGAGCCCCATAGAAACCCATAGTGCCCCACAGAACCCCATAGCACCCCATACAACCCCATAGGGTCCCATAGCACCCCATAGCGCCCCATGGATCCCATAGAGCCCCATAGCACCCCATACCCCCACACCCCACCCCATAACCCCACCCCATACATCCACCCTTTATCCCCACCCCATATCCTCACCCCATAAGGTCACCCCATATCCTCCCCATATCCCAAGCCTCCCACCCCATATCCTGACCCTATAACCTCCCCCACCCCGTATCCCCACCCCACACCCTCACCCCATATCCCCACCCCATATCCCAACTCCACACCCACCCCACACCCCCACCCCATATTCCCATACCCCCACCCTCTACCCTCAGCCCAGACCCGCACCCCATAATGCCGCATATCACCCCATAACCTCACCCCATATCTCCACATCCCC